GGGGGGGGGGAAGCAGAAACATCACCTCCAACTTCAGGACAAAACTCCCCAGCTCAGAGTAGGAGGCGTCCAGAGAAGCAGGCCAAGCGTGGAGGGTGGTTTAATCTGTTGCATCTTTATAGGGGCACCCCTACTCTCCCCCGCTGTATCAGAATTAAAACAGTCCAACAACAAAGATGGTTTTTTTATTTTGGAGCCGAGGAATGCAATTACTATTTTTTAAAAAAATACTATTTGGGGGCAAGATGAAATAGAGGACCTCTGTTTTGTGTATCAAGACAATGACCAGCTATTAGATTTAAAAAAAAAAACACCTGTATTGGGTCACCAAAATGTCACCTAAAAAAGAGAGAGATTAGCTCTACAACCCTTTGGAATTCCTAATCAGTCTCCGTGATACAATATGGTGAGTTCTGAAAGACTCAAGACACTTGCCTCTATCAAATACTTTGATGGTCCAGGCAACCCTATTTCTTGGTATTTACCTGCAGGGTGAATAGCTCTGTTCCTTTTCTATTAGAGTATGTGGAATATTTTGGCCACCTCATGAGAAGAGAAGACTCCCTGGGAAAGACCCTGATGTTGGGAAAGTGTGAGGGCAAGATGAGAAGGGGACGAGAGGACGAAATCGTTGGACAGCATCATCGAAGCAATGTACCAACATGAATTTGACCCAACTCTGGGAGGCAGTGGAAAACAGGAGGGCCTGGCATGCTCTGGTCCGTGGGGTCACAAAGAGTAGGACATGACTAAACAACAATGCAGAATAGTAAAAGCAGAGGGGGTGGTGGTCTACTGCTCATCTCTGGCTTTACCCTACTCAGAAGTTGCCAATGGGTTGAGACGGTGAATCCTGACCCATGCACAGGGAACTCTTTGTATCCTTCATGCAAAGCCGTTAACAAGGCCATGAATCCTTCATGCAAAGGAGGAAATACTTCAGAGGAAACTTAATTGGGCCTTTGCAGTATTGCTGCTTATTGCTGTTAATGATGGATTTTAAAAGTGAGTTTTCATGAATCCTACCATGCTCTGGGTGTCTGAAATTCTGGAGGCAAAAAAATAAGCTGTTGGTCGATTCCAGAGTTCTTCTGTTGGTGAAATGGACCACATCAGTTTGAAATACGTTTATTGAAGTTTGGCAGTGTATTTGAGGGGTCTTCTTGCCATCCAAGCTCCAAGGGGAAACACCAGCCCAGAGAGAGAGAGATAAGCTACAGATTTTTTTTTTAAAAAAATAAAGACTACCCCTTTCTCCCCTCCTAGTTTGCTACCTGAAAATAATGCTACTGGCTCTTGCCATTCAACTTTTTGCCACAGATGGTTTTCACTTATTACTTGCATAATGCTTTGCAAAACACTCTTAGGGGATAACTCAGATTTTGCCATGAAGATCACCAGGGAGGAGATTCCCCCAGCAGTGCTACAGAAAACAATGACGACTTAAACATGAGGCCCAGATCTGTGTGACCCCTGACATACGACTATTCTTTACATCTTGACCCTGGCAGTGTACAATCTATAGGGCAGGAAATGATGGGGGCGCAGGTACTGAAGAGGCAAGCAGAATGTAGGTGTGTGCTGCCTCCATTATTAGTGCAGGTAAATCGCCACAGGTGTGATACAAGGAGATCTGCCAGCGGGATCTGAAGGCCTTAGGAATGGTCCTCAACAGATGGGAAACCTTGACCTCTGAG